GTTATGGGGAGGTGATCTTGGCCGTTGATCAATCTGAGATCAACGGCTCAGATCAGTTTGGACCAAAACGGCGTCATTTGGATACCCTGGGTATCAGCTGGTGTTGGACCGGGCAGGCTTGGTTTTGGGCTGTTTGTTTGGGCCAATTTTAACAAATTGGCCCAAGTCCGGAAAGGAAGGGCCCTTTTTTTTTCTTTTATTATAAAAAATACAAAACTAAGTAAAATCAAATTAAAATAAACACCTAATACAATTATTTGCACACACATTAAAATAATTCAAAACAGGTAAAATTAAACAAAACAAAATCACGGACGAAGATGCCTATTTATGATTTTCTATTTAACGACCGGATTACGATTCGAATTATGCATGACACACACATTTTTTGTGTTTTGTTTTAATAAAATAAAAATGGGCAAAATCGTAAATAACCAACAAAGTGCCATGTAAAAATCCAAAATTTGTACTGCCGGGCCGATTATTATTATTTTTTATTTCTTTTGGAGCGATTGTCGTGCGAAACAAAAATCACGTGCTCACACCCTAGAGTTGTATGTCTCCACCTTTTTGTCATTTTCTTCAATCTTCTTTTCTCCGGTCTCGATTCTTTTGGCGAGCTCTTCGAGCATTCTCATAACTGTGGGGTCAGTCCCCGAGCCACTTTCAACGAGCCTTTCAACCGCTGGTCTAACACGCTGAGGGTTCACTGGTTCGGCTGTATTTGGAGTTTTATTCTGACCCTGAAGTTGAGCGATGACGACTTGCTGGGCTTACAACATTTCGAATATCACCTGGAGGCTGACTCTTCCTTCTTCCATTCCTCGTGTTCTTTGGCCATTGGGCCGGGCTTCCTTGTGTACATTCCCTATGGGGTCTGCACCCGAATCCGCGCTTAGAGCGTTATGCGAGCTGATATCAACCAGCTCCATATTTGGTACTTCCTTAAGGTTTATGATTGGTATACCGACCCCTATACCACTGTTTTCTCCAAGACCTTCGTCGTTACGAATAGGTGCATTCTGTGTGATAGACATGTCTAAACCTGAGAATTAAAAAATCTTGACAAGAAAAAGTGTAAAGATAACGTGTGTAACGAGAACTAGTAAAGAAATAATCACTATTATCTTTAGCCCCACGGTGGGCACCAAATTGTTTACCTCGAAAAATGTGAGTAACAATTAAAGGTGATTTGTGGTTTTAAAGATATGTGATTTATTCCAATACTAGTGAATATATAAGTAATATTAGGTTTAAGTAAGAAGAATTGATGAACCAAACCAGTATTGTTAGAGCAACAGGGACCTCGAGCTCGATTATCTCGGGGGCCTCGAGGTGAGTTAAGAGCAAATAAAGCAAGAACAATAAAGTTAAAACAATAAAGCTGAAGAACAATTGTGGAGCACGAGAAAAGCAAAGTAGAATGTTCTATTGCAGTGAATAATGTCCCTTTTACAAAGATTGAGGTCCCTTTTATATAGAAGGGGAAAACCCTAATATGGTACATTTCCAATTATGGCAAAGAATTCTATTGGTACAGCTGTATAACAGCTTAGTACGAACTTGTGCTATTTCATACAAATCTTATCCCTTAATTTATTCCCTGATCCACGTGTCTTTGAGAAATTCCCGCTCTTTCTTGAGTGTCATCAGAGTTGTACTGCCCTCGAGGCAGATCATGCCAGGTCTTCGATTTGCTCCCTCGAGGTATGCATTTTTTCAGTCAGCTTTTATCTTTGCTTCCTGCTGCCCAAATTCGAGCCCCGAGGTTCCGTTAAGTCCTCGAAATCGAGCTCTCCAATTTCGACCGTATACAATCCTTGTATCCATTTTAATGCATGCATAATATTATTGACATAGGTTTACCATTGAAAAATTTATTTGTAGCCTTTGTTGCTACTTGCATTGAGAATTTTTCTTATTATTAAATAAGTGAATTGTGATTTCTATTAATCCATGTCACAAGGAGAGGTCTCGCATTGAAAGGCTTATTAATGGAAATTACATTTATCAAGAATTGTAGGCGGATTCAAAATTTGAAGTTTATGGACCCTGGCGTCCCCTTATTTGTCATAGAACCCACAACCCATCTATGCTAATTAAGGGTTCACACCTTATTATATGCATATATTCAGTACATTTCTCAACACATATATGGGGTCTGGGTTAGAGCTATTGAATTCTCCAAACACCGTACCATATAGTGTACATCCGCCTAAATATATAACTTTAAACCAAGGGAAAAAAGCAAAACTAAAAATGAGAATGTAATAGAAGAGGAGAGTACCAAGAGTTTTGCACTACTATATGATCAATAGATTAATCATCTTATCCCAGTTGTATTATATGGAGAAAATTTCTAAACCTTTAAATCAAGATTAATAGACCCTTCTTCTTCCTTTAGAACTTGTTGAAGAGAAAGTCCTTCCATTTCATTCATGGGATGGAAATTGGGAGCAATTCCAATAACATTGCTACAATTGGTCTCTAATTTGTTGTTAGAAACTATATATTCTTGCTCCAATTCATCACTGCTCTTCGAAGGTGTCAATTTGGAAGCCCTTTTCATTTCTTGGTTCTTCCCCCACAGCACAACGTACAATCCAAATATTATTATCGCAGCTCCTAGAACACTAATCCATAGTAAATAAAGTCACATTCATAAACAGAAAAAAATAATATTAATTGTAGATAGTTAAGGGAATTATGAGAGTCTCCAACCCTAAATATAAGTCATAATAAATTGTTAACTGTTACACTACCTTTTAAGTATTTAACGTATGCTAAAAAGTCTATTATTCGGAAGTATTGACTCATTTAATGTTCTAGTTGTTATGAGAAAACTATCATTACAACTGCAAAGGTTTTTGCATAAGGAAATACCACTAATCCTAAGTTCATGTGCGTTAATTAATGATTTCTTTAAACAACAAGAGTAAAATAATAACCTAAAATAACTAAATATTGAGCTATGACAATTCTTATCCAGTGTACTCAGTAACATTTCTACAGTAGATATATTTCTAGTTAAATGCAAATCCGGCAAGATAAAATTACCAATATTAAACTGCTAAATAAAGAAAAGAAAATGACAACGATCTAATACAAAGTAAATGATATTACACTATAAATGGATAGCAAAATAAATACCTTCCCAAGTGTAATTTCTCGTTGAGAAATAAAGAACCGGCAATGGCAACACATACAAGCATCAAAGGGGTGAAAATAGACAGGAATAATGGACCTCTCATTCTTACAGAAAACATCAAAAAGATGATTGTTATTCCAGAAGCCACTATCCCCTACACCCAAAAAAAAAAAAAAATTATGTAAATTTTATTTCTAATCTTATCGTCATTAAAATGCTAAATATTGTAAGGTGTTTATTGGTACAACGGAAGTCATTAGTTGGAAAAATATTTTCATGCGAAAATTATTTTCTAATTTCTAGATAAAATTTTCTACGAGAAATGACTTCTATTATACCAAAAACACTCGTAACGAAAAATAAAACATACCGCATAAGCTACTATAAGCAGTCTAAGGTTCCATCCTAATTTCCATTGGCTCCAATCTCTTTCAGTACAAAGTGCAAAAACTCCAGCTTGAAGTGCTCCCATAATAGAGATTAGGGCAGTGCTAGAAAAATGGCAAGGATACAACTCACTCATCTTCGCCTACATTGTACATTAGCAAATTAAGAAAATAGTTAACACAATGTTTAATCTTAAATTATTACTTTTTTCCCTTTCCATTCATTGTTTTCCTTTAATGTAAATATTTTCAAATTCTCAGTCAAGAATCCCGTACAAATATTACAGAAAATTACATTTTCAATTATGTTTAATTGGAAAATACTCTAGGAATCATATTCAATTATTTGCAAATAGGAGGTTAAATTTTTCCAAATACGCTAATTTCTTTTAAAATGTCATACCCTCCTCCCCGAAACCAAAAAATGGATTCAATAGTTTTTAGTTTTTACTTCAAATGTGCACTATTTAGAAAGTAATTTAAACAAGAAAAGTTAAGTTTAGTTTGCATGATACCTGAAAAATGAGGGATAATGCTGTGGAAAAGCAACTACAAATAGCCAAAATAGGACCCAAAATATGAGCATATGGTTTTTGGTGTTGGTGAGAAGCTGCCATCTGTCCACTAAAGACAACTTTGGTTGACCATGTTTTAATTTCCAAGCCTTTGTAAAAGGTGAGAAGCATAGCCCCACCTATTCCAATTAATGTTCCCAACACTTTTGCCTGCCCTGCCCTTGTTTTCAAACCCAACTTCTCCAACCTAAACAAATATGTCCAAATATACACAAAACCATTAGTATACCTCACAGGTTAATATAGACGGATTCAATATTTAAATTTTATGAGTTACTATAATTTTTAAAATTTGTAGAGTTTTCGTTATTGAACCCGTTACACTTTTAAAATTATAAGTTCCTGTTAGAGTTTCTATATTTTAATCTTAAAATTTCCTATCAAATAGTCGTTAAACTTTTAATAATATCATGCATGTCAATGTTTATTTAGTATCGAAACTAATAAATTCAGTTGAACCTGTATACTTTATCCGCCACTACACATGTATATCTATGTCTACATCTACGTTAGAGTAGATAACCGGCCCGTCACATAATAATTTTAGGTTTCAAAATTTAAAACGGATTCATTCTATCTTTTTACAGGAAAAATTATTTTGTTTATTGGAACGTTTAAGATTTTTTTGAGTGTTTAATGGTTGAAAGAAGAGTTTCTTGAAAGCATCCTTAAACCATATCTTTGAAAACAGTTTCTAGAAAGCATTTTTTTTCTCCAAATTTTTTTTTTTGGTAAACGGATGCATTTTATTGAAAGCAGTAAAAATGTCAAGAAGTATCATCACAGCCAGGAACTAATCTGAGAGATATCTTCTTCAAACAACTAATTAAAAAAACATGAAATTGGAAAATTGAAATATACCTAAAGAATATGGCTATAACAAAAGTGATGCCAGGAATTAGATTAATCATAGCTGTAGCAAAAGTTGCTGAAGTTAGGACTAAACTTGCTGCAAACAAATTTTGTGCCATTGAACCTCTGCATTAATTCAAAGTGTAAATGAACCAATATTAGAAATGAATGCATATATAGTTAAGGGCAGACATCTAACTTAATGAAAGCACTAGTAAGAGTAGTCAAAATGACATGCTTTGGAAAAACAAAAGTTGCATGGCAGTCATCTTCAATAAATATTCCACTTGTTTTAAGTTTCAGGAGTTCTAAGTTGGCGTGTAAGACGTTTTAAAATATTTGACAACATTTTCTTGAAATGTTGGACATATCTGTTTAAATGGACCAAAATTAGAAATTAACAGCATTATTTTAATATTTATTTTATAACTGATAAATCAAATCAAATTCTTTTTCGTCCAATCAAATAGTGTCACATAAAATTGATCGTGTCATATAAAATGAGATAAATATTTTTGGTAGAAAGGACTAGCAAGCAGGTTTTTTTTTTTCGGAGAGATCGCACAAAGCAATTAAAGGTTTAGATAGTGGAGGAGAAGAGTGAAGAAAGAAAACGTTTTCCTAAAACGAGACTGAATATTCAATTTGTGAGTTGTTTTTATGCTGTCATTCACATTGCACTTATTAGTGAATTGAATGAAAGTAATAGAACTTACCCGAAGAGTGCAGAAAGAAATGCAAGCAACATTACCATCCATGTCAATTTTGGCGCCGTCTTCCTACAAATAGGAAATAATAGCGATAGCCACATCAGATTCAATTCAATTATGTTTTGCAAAAGTGTACAACAATAACAATTATGCGTAGTGTCTACGCATAGACCCCCGGCATTCTTCCCTCCAAGAACTTCCCACATTGCTCTTGGGGAGACTCGAACTCACAACTTCTTGGTTAGAAGTGGAGGTTGCTTACCATTAGAGCAACCCCTATTGCAAAAGTGTAAAAATTCAAAATAATGGAGTTCCTGCTCGAAATGAGTGGACAAACATAGTTGAATTTTATCCAAAATGTTTCAACAGATTTCTATTTTAATTAAGTTGCGTCAAACGTACACTTAATTTGCTTGAACCTTCTTGTTGAATTAAAACAAAACATTAAAAGGTTCAAAGCTTTTTACTCATTACATTGAGTAAAATCCTACGTTTAGCCAAGTGATGTACAGAACTAAAAATAAGGACTACAAACAAACCAAAACATGCCTCTTAGAAGACAGCAAGATTTATTTTATTTTTTTCCAACAATAAAAACAATGGCTATCCAATGAATAATATAAATAAATTCCATAGAAATGTGGAATTGCATCAGGATTTTATCCTCGAAGAAGACACTCTAAGAGAACTATTTTCTTTTTAAAAAGAGAAGACTACCCTCAACTACAGTAATAGAATCCAGGTGTTTGTTTTTTGGGGTCATTTTTCTGAGTAGGGTTATTCAGTTTATGTGCAGGTGAAGAATAACCTCGATAAAATAATCGATGGCGTACAAATTGATTAGACACAGCTACCAAATAGTAAAAAAGTATATATTCAAAGACTGTTCTAAGGACAGACTTGCCTGTCAAAGTAAAGGGCCAAAGGAATAACAGTAGCAGCAGCAAAGAGGAAGCGATAAGCAATCAAAACCCTCAAACTCATTCCATTATTAGAAGCTAATTTATAGAACAAACTCATTCCTGCATAAGCTATCTGAACAAACACCATCATTATTACAGGCTTTAATCCATGCACTTTGTCACATATCTTCCCCATTCTCTCTCGTCTATGGAACCAGAGACAAACCGACCAAACTAGCAGAAGAATATATAGTACTTTTTACTACTAAGTATTATTGTTATAAATATCTGTACATATATATAGAGAAATATATAGGTGCGGGGTTGAAGAGGAAGAATAGGAGTTGTAGTTGAAGACTAGTTTTGTAACGCTTGAATGGGACCACCAAAGATTGTGCCGGAATAATATGTACTCCTTCATCCTGACTAAAAAATTCGAGTTTGAGTCTTAGATATATGATATGCCTCTCATAGAAAAGGTTTTACCTTAAAGTAAAACTTTTGGATATTAATTTAGATTAGTTGGGACTCAAAACGGATATCAGAAAAATGCTTGAATGGGGAAATACAAAAGAAGACAGGGCTAGCTGGAATTTGGTTGTGGAAAACATAAATAGGCAGGCAGAGAGGAGAGTTAATTGAAAGAAGGAATTGAAGAGGGAGCTGCCACTTTACAAAAATCCACGTGTGGTGAAGTTGGTAGAGACGTCTTCAGTTTTTGCATGGCAAAACAATAGGAGAAAGGATTTGAGCATTAATTTTTACTGCACGTCATCGTCTACGCTTTACTCCCCTAACTATCTGTAGATTTCTCTATTTGATTTACATGTCTTCGGCACTAAACTTTTTCTGCATTAATTTCAACTTCCCTCTTACCTCAGTATCAAAATCCTACGTTACTCGAATTGTTCAAAATTTTGAGCCTTATTTGTGTCACATCTTTCAAAAATAGTAGTCACCCGTTCTACTTTGTTCCCAATTATTTTCTTATTAACTCATTCCAAAAAATTTATCACATTTTCTTTAAGGCTTAGTAGCATTATATAACTAATTCGGAGAGTAATGTAGGTATATAGTAGTAATTAAATCTTATGTTCAGAAGGTCGTACGCATGGTAGAGAGGAGAAGTAGTTTGGAATAAATTCGAATTATTAAGGGATGAAAATAACTTTAGCCACACATTCCCTAACTTCAAACGATCATATCTCCCAATATAGTTGCTGATGTTCTAAGTAGAAGATCCATGGGGATTTTGGATATGTTGTTAGTGGTTAAATGTCCCGTAGTGAGAGAAGCCCAATAGATAGCTAATCAAGGTTTCATCTTGAAGAAGAAAATGGAGAAAAATTGATCGCTAGTATGATTTTCAAGTCTAGCTTATTAGAGCAAGTGAAAGCCGGATAGTTTGATGATGCAAGGTTGCTTAAAGTTAAAGAAGATGTTCTTAGTGGAAAAATCTGAGGATTTCAGAATTGATTGGGGTGGTATATTTAGGTTTAGAAACCGAATACGTGTCATTGACATAGAGAATCCTCGAAGAGCAATTATGAAGAAAGCACATACTTTCAAATACATAATGCACCCAGGTTCTACAAGATGTATCATGACTTGAGGAAAATCTACTGGTAGAATAACATGAAAAGAGATATTGCATACTTTGTATCTCGCTGCCTTAATTGTCAGCAAGTGAAGTTTGAACATTAGAGACCAGACGGTTTAGAGCAGCTAATAAAGTACTAGTGTGAAAATGGAAAAGAATAAATATAGACTTCATGGTTGGCCTACCAAGAACATTCAAGAAGGACGACTCAATTTGAATGAATGTTGATAGGGTAACAAAATCAGCTTACTTTTTACCTGTTAAGGCAACTTACACAACTTATATGTATGCAGCTATTAAAGAAAATTGTGCGGTTGCATGGCTCGGCAATGTCTATTATTTTTGACAGAAGTGCACAATTCAGTGTCTAGTTTTGACAGAGTTTTTAGGAAGATATAAGTACCAATGCTAATTGAAGCATGACTTTCTAACCACAAACAGACGGACAAGCCGAACGAATGATTTAGACCTTGAAGGATATATTATGAGCTTGCGTGTTGGATTTTAAGGAGAATTAAGATGATCATTTGCCTTTGCCAGAGCCTGTATATAACAAAGTTATCAAGCAAATATTCAGATGACTCCATTTGAGGCTCTATATGGAAGATGTTATTGTCGTTCATTGGTAGGATATGTTGAAATTGGTGAGACACAATTCATAGGCCCATAAATAGTTCAAGATTCATTGTCAAAAGTGAAGATTATTTAGAAACAACTCAAAACATCTCAGAGCTGCCAGAAAACATATTCAGACGTAAGGCTTCATGATCTCGAGTCTAAAGAAGGTGCCTTTGTCTATTTGAAAGTCTCACACATGAAGGGCAACATGCATTTTGAAAGAAAAGGAAAAATTATCCCCATGTATAATGGGACTTATCCAATTCTTAAAAGAGTTTGGCCCGTGGAGTATCGACTTGTTCTATCATCAAAGTTATTATTAGTGCATCCGATATTTCATGTATTAATATTGAAGCAATATTTTTAAGACTCGAGCCATGTCACTAATGGACAAGAGATCAAAGTTGATGATACTTTGTCCTACAAGGAGGTCCCTGTAGCGATAGTAGACATACAAGCTCATAAGCTACAAAATAAAGAGATTGCTCAGGAAAAGTTATGTGGAGTAAACATTCAGTTGAGGATGCTACTTGAGAATCCGAGTGCGATATGAGGATAAAATACCCCTACCTATTTGAGGATTCAAGTACGCAGCTCTAGTCACACTTTAATACTGTAGCTTGTTGTACTAAGTGATATTCATGCTTACATGATCTATGAATAAGTTGAGTATTCATAAAGATATAACATTCTTCTCAGTCCTAGGGATGACCAAAGGCCGACATACAAGGAAAAATGTCAAATAAAGAAAGGGGAGAATGTAAAGCCCCGTAGCACCCTATAACTTATTCGAAAAGTAGTAGAGGTTTTTAGTACTTAAATGTTATGCTTAGACGGTCGTAGTATGTTTAGTGGAGGGGGTGAGGGGGAGTAGTTTGAAATAAATTAAAATTATTAAGGGATAAAAATAACTTTAGTCGCATATGCCTTAATTTCAAATAACTATATCTCTCAATATATAATGTATTGAGCTATGATTCATATATCAAATGAGAATCTAACTTTCATAACATCAAATTATTCGTTGTTCTAAAATTTCTAAAAGAAACTATGACTTTTTTTACTAAAGAATAGGAGGATAGCCAACTGAACCTTGAGCCAAACCGTAGCCAACGGTCCAACCGTGGCTAATCCCAACAAGGGGTGAATGGGGTGACTTGAAAGTCCAAGAAAAACTTGGCCAGCGATTGTCCAGACCATGTCCTCCGATTACCCCAGGCTTTGAAAGGGCCAAAAATTGTGATTTTTCTCATTCTTACCCCCAAAGTGTTATGGATATTATGTTCAAGGAGATATTGAGCGAAGATAATCCCACGTCATCCACGGTGAGTTTTTAACACGATTCAAGTTGAAAATCAATAGATTAGCTTTATCTAACATCCAAGTCGAGCCAAGTCTATGCTTCTCCAATCACCGAGAATAAAAATAATGGTAGTCGAATTTCTTTCGGTGTCATATTGGTTTTCCTCTGAGTGACACGGATTGACAGAAACTTTTTAAATTATTTTTGTGGATCTTCGAGGTAAGACCCAAAGAACAATCCTTTGTTCTGCAGTAGGTGCAACATGTTGTTCGTGATTTGAAATGTCTCCGCTTGTAGAGGGACTGTAATTACGGTTGTTGGATTACCAACAGTGGGTTGTAACCAAGGCTTTCCATCTGCTTCCTCTTCGACATGGGCACAGTAAGTTGGTTGATTATGGATTTTCACTGGAATGGGATCAATGAAAGTCTTGTCTGGATGCTTTATCATAGATGATAGGGTAGCCAATACATCGGCGAACTCATTCTGGATTCTGGGAACATGCTGGAAGTACGTCTTTGTGAACCTCTTTCTCAATTCCTTTACATGATGCAGATACGAGAGTATCTTGGAATTCTTGGTTGCACATTCTTCTCGTACCTGATGTATAAGCAAGTCTGAATCTCCAATCACTAGCAGCTCTTGAACGTTCATGTCAATGGTCATTTTGAGTCCTAAGATGCAGGCTTCATACTCGGCCTATTATTGGTGCAGGGGAGCCTGAGTTTGGCAGACACCGGATAATGCTGACTGGTTTCTGATATTTGGACTGTTCTTATGTCAACTCCTTTGAAGTTTGCTTCTCCATCGAAGAACATTCTCCAACCATCATAGGATCTGCAATGTCTTCTCCTATGAATGGTACCTCTTCATCCAGAAAATACATTTTTAGGGGTTTGTATCCTTCATCCACGGGGTTTTCAGCAAGGTGGTCTGCCAGTGCCTGTCCCTTGACCGCTTTCTGAGTTACGTAAATGATGTCGAACTCCCTCAACAGGATTTGCCACTTTGCTAGCTTGCCGGTGGGCATGGGCTTCTTAAAGCTATACTTCAAGGGATCCATTCTCGATATGAGATATGTAGTATAGGCACAGAAGTAATGTCTCAGCTTCTGAGCTACCCAAATCAAAGCACAATAGGTGCATTCCAATAGAAAATACCGGGCCTCGTAAGGGGTGAACTTCTTACTAAGATAATAAATAGCTTGCTCCTTCCTCCCTGTTTCATTGTGCTGCCCCAGAACGCAGTCGAAAGCTCCATCTAACACTGTGAGGTAGAGTAATAAGGGTCCACCTAGCTCGGGCAGGACTAAGACTGGTGGTGTTGACAGATACTCCTTGATTTTGTCAAAGGCCTTTTGGCAGTCATCGGTGCATTTGGTGGCGGCGTCCTTTTTTAACATCTTAAATATTGGCTCACAGATAACTGTAGACTGTGCTATGAATCGGCTGATGTAGTTAAGCCTTCCCAAGAAACTCATCACATCCTTCTTGTTCTTTGGTGGTGGTAGTTCTTGAACAACTTTGACTTTCGATGGATCCAGTTCTATTCCTCGGCGGCTCACAATAAACCCAAGCAATTTCCCGGCGGGAACCCCAAATGTGCACTTTGCGGGGTTTAGTTTCAAGTTGTATCTCCGTAGTCTATTGAAGAACCTCCTCAGATCTTCTATGTGGTCAGTGACCTTCTTGGATTTGATAATAATATCATCCACATATACTTCTATCTCCTTGTGTATCATATCATAAAAGATGGTAGTCATGGCCCTCATGTAGGTGGCCCTTGCATTCTTCAGGCCGAATGGCATCATCTTGTAACAGTACACTCTCCACGGCATAATGAAAGCCATTTTCTTAGCATCTTCCTCATCCATCCAAATTTGATGATAACCATCAAAGCAATCCATAAATGACTGTAGCTCATGCTTGGCGCAATTTTCAATCAGGATGTGTATATTTGGCAAAGGGAAGTCGTCTTTCGAACTGTCCCGGTTGAGATACCGGTAGCCGACACAGACTTTGACCTTCCCATCCTTCTTTGGTACTGGCA